TGGAAAAATACAACTGTTTGAAGGATTGAAAGAGTAAAGATCAGTTGATGCAGTGCTAAAAGAATGAGACCATTTAACCACATTATAAACCACTTTTGTTGTTATTATCTGCCTTTTGTTTATCCACAAAATGCAACAAATGGAACCCACTCAGATGGATGAAAAGCCAATGTAAATACTGTGATTTGTAGCTTGCCTTGTGGTCTGGCCCTGCTTAGAGACTAGTCTATGGGTCTCCTTCTAATAAGACCCAAGGCTCTGAAGGGAATGTATGTATCACCACCAGCAAATACATGCCTATTTTAACACTGCACCTCTGTCCGTATAGCTTAAAATATCAAACCCAAGTGTAGTGCAAATACAGATATTGTTTTGAAGCAAATGAAAAGAAGAAGGGTTGAGTGGTAGCAATAATGAACATGGACTACTCTTTGGACTTTGTTTTCTTTAAGATATCTATGTCCCAACCTCCTCTCAGCCTTGTAGGGACCACTTATACATCGAGCCTTGTGTTTGATGTTGTACCATCAAGAAGAAAGTGCTTTGAAAATACACTCCAGATAGCATCTTATTAACTGCGTAGCCTCTTCCCCATACTTATAGAGCAACGCATAACACAGTGCTTGCATAGTAATCAATAAGAAACTGTATATGATTTTGAATATAGTTAAGAATCCAGTCATAACTTTGTAGTAGTAAACAGCTTTCTCTTTGTGCCATTTCAAAGCCTTGAGGTAAATATAAGAGGTTGTGTCAAGGAGGACATCAACATTTGATACCAAGGTTCATTGTGAATTATTGCTGGATTGTAGGATGCAAATCATATGTTGTTGCAATAGGTAAAAATAGGGACCGGTCAGGCGGCACCGCAGCACCACGCGTTCTTACTGCTACATGACTGTAGACTGTAGACCTGCTCATTCAAATACACATGCTTTATCATTGAGATCGACCAAAGTAGAGATCGTGATCTATCAATCTTTTGATTTTTGCCACAGCCCTAATTTTATATTTACTTTACACTAGTAGTGTTTTAACAAAAAATATATATTGTTGCTTAAATGTGGTTACATTTGGTTCTTAAAAAACAGTATATAGTATATATCACAGAGTATTGTGTGTAATATATTGACAGTGTTGGGAAGGTTACTTTTAAAATGTAATCCCCTACAGATTACAGATTACACACCCCAAAATGTAGTTTGTAACGTAATCCATTAAATTACTTAAAGTGAGTAACGTAATCTGATTACTTTGGATTACTTGATATTGTCATGTTTTTTTAAACGACATGAATGTAGCAACCACATCCTGAAAATTCTTGTTTGTTGTCTTCAAATTGTCTGAGTCCAAGTCTCCATGGATAAGCAACTGTTTGCTGTAGAGAAACAAAGACCACGAGATCTTAATATAAGAGGTTTTGTCTGTTAAAAGACAGTAACAAGATCAGCCTTTCCTTCACCAGATTAAAAAATATTATTGATAGAGAAATTATTTTTTATATGAGATCACCTTAAATTATGTCAACCTACTGTTAGGTGTCATGTTGTTTAGACCTGGTTTAGTCCTGGTTTTTAGACCTGGTTTACTCCTGATTTTAGACCTGGTTTAGACCAGGTCTTTAGTTCTGGTTTAGTCGTGGTTTAGTCCTAGTTTAAACCTGGTTCAGTCCTGCTTTAGTCCTGGTTTAGTCCTGGGTTAGTCCTGGTTTTAGTCCTGGTGTTAGTTCTGGTTTAGAGGTGCGCAGGAGGAAGCGCGGTTTACGCGAGAAAACACGGTCCACAGGCGGCGCACGAGACGGCGGTGTCCGCGCAGTAACTACGGAAGGAGACGTGGTCCGTGGGTTCTCAGGTTGATGATGATGATGAAGGTGTGTGTTTGTGTGTGTTTCTGTGTGTTTGTGTGTGTTTGTGTGTGTTTGTGTTTGTGTGTGTGTGTGTCCCCTCATGTGGCAGGTCACTATAGGACAGTACTGCAGATATTATGAGTCTATGCAGGTTGTTTTCACCAGTGCCAGTAGCTCCGGTTTCACATTTAAGTTGTAGGCGATTTTATATTTGGTTTTTTTTTTATATATATATCTCACATCAGGAGAAAAATTTCCAAGACACAAATGCGTTTTTACCAATGCACTGCTGCTTCCACTGTGTGACTGACACCGCCAACTTTAACATGACGTTTACATCGCTCTTATTGCGCGCGTTCTGTTTGGGTTTCCAGCAATGAGTGAAATTACCGAAATAAAAAAAATAAATAAATGGGATGTAGCACAAAATGTGAAAACAGGAAAATACCGCCTTGTAATCCACTTATTTCAGCAAAGTAACTGTAATCCAATTACCACTCATTGAAACAGTAACTGTAACGGAATACAGTTACTCATAATTTGTACTCTGATTACGTAACGGCGGTACATGTAATCCGTTACTCCCCAACACTGTATACTGATAATCACATGTACTGCCATTGTGATAATATCGTATTGTGAGCCATGTATCGTGTATCGTACTGAATCATGAGGGACCCTGTGATTCTCAGCCCTGATGAAGACAAAGAACACTAAAATCAAAACACTGAGCTAGGTGGGTTGTAGTAAATTCCAATTTACAATTTTCCCAATGATTCATGGTTAAAAAATAAATAAATAAAAAGAAAAGAAAAACAGAAAAAAGAAACTAACTATTTGGTATACAATATTTTATGCTGTTTGAACTCTATTTTGAAGGAATTTCAATAATATGATGCATGAGACAGTAGCTCAGTTGGTAGAGTTGGTCTTGCTTGCACAGATGAATACTGCAGTTGTGTCCTTGGGCAAGATATTTAGCCCACCTCACCCCCAGTATCTGTGTATGAATGTGTGTGAATGGGTGGTTGTGGTTCCTTGATGTACCAAGTGCATGAAGATGGAAATATATAATAATGATGTGACCATTTACCATGAGATAACCTAGTTAGGAAGTATTTGGTCTAGCCGCAATTAAAAAGTAACATGGCTTTAAGTGTACAGACACTACCTACCATGGTTCAATCTTGCCGTGGTACACGCAGCAGTCTGGAAACTAAATTCTAAATAGTTGCAGCTATTTCATAATGTATTAGATGTGAGTTTTAATTATGCATACAGCATTGTGACTTGCATCAGAGAGTTAAATATAGCCTCTTCAGCATTAGAGAATCACAGGCTACAGCCACTCACTTTGGGGCAACATCATCTATTGTTGCAAAAGTGAAATTTTGTGAGTTTAAGAAAGGTTCATTTTCCAAAATGCATTATTGCTAAATGAAAAGAACACATAGATGATTCAACTAGGCCAAGTTACAGATTCTGAGAGTGTTTTTGAACAATTAAAACACCTGTTATCAAGATATACATGTTTCTTGCCATACTGTGTAACATTTCAGGAAGTTCAATAGCATCTTCATGGAGACAATTAGTTGAGCACACATTTCCTTAAAAGGACATTGCACAGCTCTGAGGGGGGGTCCGTTACCTACTTGTCTCCATGGAGATGTTATTGCTTTTCCTGGAATTTCCCTGGCACAAAGCAATAACATCTCAAACAGGTAGAGAACCCTCCACTAGAAATGTTATGCAGTGAACCTTTAATGCATTTTTCAATCTTTATGTATAGATGTGCTGTATATAATTATTGAAAAACCCAGAAGAAAATTGCACCACTTGTGTGATTCATCATGCATGGCCATATATATTCTATAGCAGTGGTTCCCAAATGAAAGATTGCATGTTGTGTGTTTGGTTAATACAGAGTTACTTTTATCTACATTCTTGTCCTTCTTTGGTTTATACCTTATTTAAAACGACTACTATAGCAATGGTGTAATGTAGTCTTATATTTTATATCTGGTTTAGCGCAAGTTCAGACCTGAAAAAATCCTATTACAGATCTGGTTTACATTCAGTGGTTCTTGAAAGGTCAAAGTATTTCTTAGCTGATACTTGGTTTGAAAAGTTTGAGATTTGATCCGAAGGTTGGTAGATCCAGTGACTCACAGGTTTCTGGTGCAATTTCAGCTCCCACAGATGAATGCTGTTGTTGTGTCCTTGGGCTAAGACACTTAACCCATCTTGCCCTCAGTGTCTGTTTACACTGGTGTATGAATGTGTGTGTGAATGGGTGAGAGGTTCCTTGATGTGAAGCGCTTTGAGTGTCTTGAAGATGGAAATGCACTGTATAAAAATGTGAGCATTTATCATTAACATTTATTGTTCTGTGGGATTCTCTGCAGTCCTGTTAAGAAATCCTTACACAGCTAGCTTTAATGATGCTTTCTTTAAGTAAATCTGTTTTATGTTTTTATTATTATTATTTTTTGTGAACTTCTAATTGTGCCAAGATGTTTGGATAGAGCACAGGATTTTTTCCATCGTTCATTTTGCTTTAACTTTAACACTTACTGGATTGTAATTTAAATCTGTAACATAATCTTACCAGGAGTGGGGTTCACACCCACGAGGACTATTGCCCATTGGATCTTAAGTCCAACGCCTACACCACTCGGCCATCCTGGTGTGAAGAGAATCTGATCACACACTGAGCAGGGTCTGAAACCCACCTGACAAGGAGGAGGAGGAGGAGGAGGGGAGCAGCTCAATTCACATGATAATTAGAACACTATCTATCTATCTATCTATTTGTCTATATATCTATCTTAGTCACACACTATTCATTTTGTGCTTGGGTGACTTTATACCGCTGCATGTACTTTAGAATAAGGTGACAATAACTGTTCCATAAAGTCTTCATGTGGATCAGACTTGGGCATTGTCCAGCATTGTCCACATACGGCTTTTTGGATCACTTGGAATTACAAAATAAACATCATTATTTTTATATTTTTACCCCAATGACATTATTTGTAAGGCCGCCTCACTTTTACATTACTTAGTCATGACATAAACTCTTACCAGTCTGAGCAGCTCATCAAAGCAATGTCATTTACTGTTTTTTATAAAGAATTACAATTAATACCATTCAGAACTGAGTTAAGCATTTTGCCCAGCCCTCCACAATATTTTCTCTGTCTCTCTCTTTTTTAGTTTTATGATGATTATTTATGATTTGATTTGTTTGTGTTGTGATTTTAATGTATTTCTTATTCTGTAAAGCACTTTGGTTGACAAACTGTGCTTCACAAACTGCCCTGACTTGCCATAAAGAAGGACTAAAACTGGACTAACCAACGTCTAAACTAGGTCCAAGCATGGTTTATTTTAGGACTAACCTAAAACAAAACCCAGTTTAAACCACCTGCTGACAGGGAGAATGCCAATAGAGCTGAACTAAACCAGGACTAAACCAGGTCTAAACCAGGTCTAAACCAGGTTTAAAGAGCCTCTGATATACACTGACCTCTGCTGACTGAGAACACCCACTAGAATCAGGTCTAGACCAGGACTAAACCCTTCTGACCACTGCAGATATGGAATACTGGAACAGAATGGCACTAAAACAGGTCTAATCCAGGACTAAACCAGAATTTAAGATACTGGCCGCTGCAGACTGAGAAAACCTAAAAAGAGCTGCACTAAAATAGATCCAAACTAGGACTAAATGAAAGCTTACGGTTCAACCCAGAACTAAACCAGGACTAAACCACCTCTGATTGACAGTAACCCTGCAGTCTCTAAAATGTGTCAAACTTTCTCGAATCCTGTCTAATTTTTTCCTCTTCTGGCACATTGAGAATTCACTTCTGAAATTTCACATCCATTTTTATAAAAGTTCCATTATAAAAATATAACCAGCGTTTCTCCCACGACAGGAATCATAATGTTTAGCTTAACTTTGTGCATTTAACACATCATTTCTGACCACAACTCCACAACATTAGAGGCATGCTTTAGTGACTTTTATAATACCACAGTGAAACAGTAAGTTGCTTTTACGCACAGCTCAAAAGAATATAATTGGTCTTGAATTTAAATTTAAAGCAAGTGTGGTCAAACCTTTTAAAAATCCATGCAACATTCGCAATTTTAGCTACAAAAGATCGATCGAACTAGATATGTTTCAGACAAAGCACTCTTTAAAAAACTCAAGTCTCGTAAGTTAAGGCTCTCCTCTTCATCCCTCTGGTGTAGCACAGTATTTTGGATATAAAAGTAAAAAAAGAGAAACATTTTAAATATTTTTTACAGTTTGTATCATAAAAGGAGGTCATTGCTTCGGAACCAACGCTGCGAAAAACAACACGAGGTACAATTCCTTAAAGGTGCACTGTGTAACTTCTAAGGTGGAGGGTCTACTAATTTCCTGTCTCCATGGAGATGTTCCACAGTATGGCATTAAACATAACTGCCTTGCAGTTACGGGTGTTTTATAGTTCAAAACTACTTAAAATCACCATGAATTCTTACTATTTGCAGGCTTGCTTTTCCATAGATCTGACCATTAACTCTCCACTGTGAAGTTTATTTTCATGCTGTGGAATTATTGAGGCAAAGCAGACAAGCACTTGATGGACCCTCCACCAGAAAAGTTACACAATGCACCTTTAAATGACTAAAAACTATTCATTTTGATTTACTATACTATAAATTATATTATAAGTCTTACAATTAAAGAGGCACTGTTCTAGTTTTTCAGTTTGGTACTAATATTGATATGTAGACATCTGCCAATACTCGATATTAACCAATTTTAACCGCATTTATTTCCATCTTAACACAATGAACTTACTACACATTTGAGCCAACTGTGTTATTTATTCTGAAAGTCACTCTTTTACTTTGACTAAAAGTCCAAACATTACAAAACCCTCTACACCAACAATAGCCTGTAAATATCATATTTTTTGGACTTTCTGACTTTTCAGCACTTTTTTCATGGGTTGGATGTTTCCTGTGACTTGCACTTCAGTGCGACTTATATATTAAAGTTTTCAGACTGACTGCGGTGCGAGGCTCTAGTCTTGCGTATCAGTTTTCTGCGCATGTCTCCTGCAGAAAAAGCCTTTGTCCTGCTGCAAGTAGTGAAATATACAGCAGAAAACGGTAATCGAGCAGCAGAAAGAAAGTTTGGAGTGAGTGAGAAACGTGTGAGGGACTGGTGGAAAGCGGAAATGGAGAACACAGCTTCACGGCAACTGGGAGTGTGTGTGCGGAGTTGCTTAAGAAGTGACACAGAGGATGAAGAATTCAATGGATTCAGTGGATTTAGTGATCTGAAGTGAGGTCGAGAGTTTGGTAAACTTATGTTCTGTTGTTTATACTATAGTTATCTGAAGAACTGTTCATATGTGACATTAACATATTAACGCTTGTTCAGTCTGTTGTTGTTTGTTTGTTTGTTTGTTTGTTTTTAGACAACAGTGCCTCTGTGGGTGTGCTTGGTAATGCTTACACTTGTAGAAGAGAAGAAACCACCAGTGAACTGATTAGGTTTAATATGTTTTTGAAGAAAATTTAAACAATAAACGATAACACTGAAACTAATTAATGCAACTGACACAACAGCAAAAACACAAGTGACAAAAACACAAACTGCAATAAATCTATATTATAAATGGGATTTTTTTAAACAATCAAAATAGCAGAAAAAACTGAAGAGGCTCACTGCAGCAGTTACAATATTACTATGAGCAAACATTTTCTTACAGATTGAACAGCTGAATGGTTTCTCCCCTGTGTGTTCACATATGTGTTTTGAGATGAGACCCTTGAGCAAACACTTTCTTACAAACCGAACAGCTGAATGGTTTGTCCCCCGTGTGTGTCCTCATGTCTTTTGAGATCAGAACTATAAGCAAAAACTTTCTTACAAACCGAACAGCTGAATGGTTTCTCCCCTGTGTGTTCTCATATGTATTTTGAGATGAGACCCTTGAGCAAACACTTTCTTACAGATTGAACAGCTGAATGGTTTCTCCCCTGTGTGTGTCCTCATATGTATTTTGAGATTAGAACTACAAGCCAAAACTTTCTTACAAACTGAACAGCTGAATGGTTTCTCCCCCGTATGTGTCCTCATATGTCTTTTGAGATCAGAACCATGAGCAAACACTTTCTTACAAACTGAACAGCTGAATGGTTTCTCCCCCGTGTGTGTCCTCATATGTCTTTTGAAAACAGAACTATAAGCATAAACTTTCTTACAGACTGAACACCTGAATGGTTCTTCTCCTATGTGAACTCTCATGTGTTTTTGTAGGTTATATTCAGACCCAAATATCTCTTAACACACAGAGCACTTGTGTTTCCTGCTCTCAGCTCCTTCTCCAGTTCTTGACATGTCTCCATTGTTGACAGTGGCTCCGGTCTCTGGTGCACACTTGTCTCCATCAGCCTCTCTGTCCATGTGTGCAGGTGAGCAGCTGAGTGGAGCCGTCTTTACGCTCACCGCACTAAACTCTGGGACAGACCTGAAAAACATAAGATACATTTGTAAATTTCAAACCCAATCTGAATATTTGTAATAGAAATTAATAAGAATCAATAACAAAATAAAGAATTGCAGTTTGAAAGTGTCTGAGACTCACACTTGCAGCTGATCTTCCTCCTGTTTGATGTTGGGTTCTTCTTCTTCTTTAACATGTGGAGTCAGACCAGGGCTCAGAGAGGGGAGCTGGACAGCTGCAGGAGACAAGAGAATACACACTTACACATACACGTGCAGTCTTGTGACATGAACACTCTGTGGACTTGTCTGTAGTCTTCTACTTTAAGGTTGATGTGTCTTTTCTGTTCATGAAGTTGTAAATACATTTCTGAAGTGCTCTCGAGACATACAGGTTGTACTGTTGACACATTTAATACTTTGTTTGCGATAAAGTTAATTGCCACCCTCTAGTGGACACCTTTGGTTTTAAGTTTTGTTTTCTGCAGCATGTGCTCACTTTCAAGCGTGATTGGTTCTCAGTGCAGTCTGACAGAATACGTCTCTGTTTTCGGCCTTGGGGCATCTTTGTCCGTACGTTCGGCTTGTTTTGTGTTGTAATATTGTTTTCTTGTATTGTTATACATATTTGAACGTCAGAACAGTAGTTTGACACATTCACGGTGTTGCCTATTGCTAGTTTCTGTTGCTAGCTCTGTCCTGTTTTTTGGGCTGGGGCTTTTATTTTGCTGAAACATGTACAATTTGTCCATCCATCCATTTTCTTCCGCTTATCCGGGGCCGGGTCGCGGAGGCAGCAGTCTAAGCAAGGACTCCCAGACTTCCCTTTCCATGCACAGTTCCTCCAGCTCTTCCGGGGGGACCCCGAGGTGTTCCCAGGCCAGCCGCCAGCGCCCAGGAGGCATCCAGAACAGATGCCCGAGCCACCTCAACTGCCTCCTCTCAACATGAAGGAGCAGTGGCTCTACTCCGAGCTCCTCCCGTGTGGCTGAGCTCCTCACCCTATCTCTAAGGGAGCGCCCAGCCACCCTGTGGAGGAAACTCATTTTGGCTGCTTGTATCTGCGATCTCATCCTTTCAGTCATTACCCAGAGCTCATGACCATAAGTGAGAGCGGGAACGTAGACTGACCAGTAAATCGAGAGATTCGCCTTTCCCTCCCTCTTCACCACAACGGTCCGATACAGTGACCGCATCACTGCCAAAGCTGCACTAATCCGCCTGTCAATCTCACGCTCCATCCTCCCCTCACTTGTGAACAAGACCCCGAGATACTTGAACTCTTCCACTTGAGGCAAGGACTCTCCACCCACCCGGAGAGGGCAAGCTACCTTTTTCCGGTCGAGAACCATGGCCTTGGATTTGGAGGAGCTGATCTTCATCCCGGCCGCTTCACACTTCGGCTGCAAACCGCCCCAGTGCACATTGCAGGTCCTGGCTTGATGAAGCCAACAGGACAACATTGTCTGCAAACAGCAGAGATGAAATCCTGTGGTCCCCAAACCGGACCCCCTCTGGCCCCTGACTGCGCCTAGAAATTCTGTCCATAAAAACAATGAACAGAACCGGTGACAAAGCGCAGCCCTGGCGGAGTCCAACATGCACCGGGAACAGGTCTGACTTACTGCCGGCAATGCGAACACAGCTCCTGCTCCAGTCATACAGGGACCGGACAGCCCTTAGCAAAGGGCCCCGGACCCCATACTCCCAGAGCACCCCCCACAGGACACCACAAGGGACACAGTCGAATGCCTTCTCCAGATCCACAAAGCACATGTGGACTGGTTGGGCAAACTCAATCCGTGTATCATTCGTTCATTCGTTTTTCAATATAAAACCAAAAATAAGAAAACGAAAAAACAACAGTTTTCTTCACTATTTGTCTCCAAAACCAAAATGAAAAAACGGATAACAATTCGTTTTTTCAGTTTTCGATTTTGTGTTTAAATGACGAATGGAAAAAACGGATAACGGCCGTTTCCCGTTTATGTGACTTCCGTGACTGCGATGCCGAACTTTTGCACCGCGTACGGACTGAATCAGGACTGATCCAGGTCCGAGACCAGACCGGGACCAGAGCGGGACTGAGACCGGGACAGAGCTGCTCTCGTCCTCCGCGCTCAAGAACCGCGGCTGGTTCCGAGGTGGTGCAAAGCCTCCGACTGACGCATTCACACCAATGAAAATGAATCGAACTAAGAGCTTTTGGTTCAAATGGACCAGGTCCGGGACCAGACCGGGACCAAAGCGCTACTGAGACTAGGACCAGACCGGGACCAGAGCGGGCCTGAGACCGAGACCGAGACAAGACCAGGACCAGACCGGGACCAGACCGGAGGCTCAGAGCCCACGGCAGGGCCGGAGCTCGAAGCTGAGGCTCGGACCCTGCGGAGGCTCGGAGTCAAAGCTCGGAGTCCGCCCTGGTCCCGCTCTGGTCCCGGTCTGGTCCCAGTCTCAGTCCCGCTCTGGTCTCGGTCTGGTCTCGGACCTGGATCCGTCCTGATTCAGTCCGTACGCGGTGCAAAAGTTCGGCATCGCAGTCACTGAAGTCACGTAAACGGGAAACGGCCGTTATCCGTTTTTTCCATTCTTCATTTAAACACAAAATCGAAAACTGAAAAAACGAATCGTTATCCGTTTTTTTCATTTTGGTTTTGGAGACAAATAACGAAGAAAACTGTTGTTTTTTCGTTTTCTTATTTTTGGTTTTATATTGAAAAACGAATGAACGAATGATACACGGATTGCGAGCACCCGATGGAGAGTGTAGAGCTGGTCCAGTGTTCCGAGGCCAGGACGAAAACCACACTGCTCCATAAGTTTAAAGTTTATAGGATCCATACGATCCATAAAACTTACTGGGTCTGACGAGCACAACAGCCGAGTCAAGGGGCCGCTGGAGCCGCTGGCTCTCGAGTCTTGATCGGCGCAGCTCCTCCTCATAGTACGCTCTGGTTCTCTCTATCATCGCACACATGTCCTCCGCCTTCGCGCTCTGCCGCTCCTCCACGGACATTTTGACTAGTTTTACCGGCTCTGTTCTCTTTTAGCGGTGCTGCTTCACGGGGCTCAGATCATGGATCTATGGCTCAGATCCACGGGACACTGTGCTGCTTCCGTTAGCGGTTGGTAAAGAAACGTTCTGTCCAACGGTCACTTCAAATTTGTGTTGGTAATTTGGTTCAAAAGTGCTTTGAACATTAACAGTTTCACTTCTTGTTTTGTTTGGATCTTTTAGCCTGTTATAGCACTAACAAAATGTTCACATAAAAAAAAAAAACACACATCTTAAATCATGTTTTTACAGTTTTTAAAGCTCGCGCTCTAGGAGCGCGGTGGCGTGGTGCTGCCCTCCACTGGTTGTCCGTGGAGCTGCAGTAAAGAAGCAGCTCACACTTTCAAATGGAGATGATTGACACAGTCAAATGATTGACACAGTCAGAGCTCTGGGGTGATTTCATGAGAGCTTTAATGTTTCCTATTTGTTTGTAAAGCATCTTACACTAGAGCAGGGCTGGGCAGTTCTTTTTCCATGGGGCCACATGAGAAACAGGAAATATTGTGGAGGGCCGGGCAAAATGCTTAACTCAGTTCTGAATGGTATTAATTGTAATTCTTTATAAAAGTAGTAAATGACATTGTTTTGACAAGCTGCTCAGACTGGTAAGAGTTTATGTCATGACTAAGTAATAAAAAAGTGAGGCTGCCTTACAAAAAATGTCATTAAAAAAACACCTCTAAAATAAAAGTAGCTTTAGTCCATGCATGGGGTAAAATTATAAAATAATGATGTTTATTTTGTAATTCCTAGCGAGCCAAAAGGCCTTATGTGGACAATGCTGGACAATGCCCAAGTCTGATCCACATGAAAACTTTATGGAACAGTTATTGTCACCTTAATCTAAAGTACATGCAGTGGTATAAAGTCACTCAAGCACAAAATCAATGGTGTTTGACTAAGATAGATATATAGAGAGAAAGAGAGAGAGACAGACAGACAGACAGACAGACAGACATTAGTGTTAGCAGCAGGCTAAGTCTCCCCTGTCTCTGCTCTGTGGAGGAGCCTCACATAAAGATGAGTCATCGGGGTTTGTTATGATTCAAACACCCACACGGACCGGAGGAGTTTCCTTGTCTGCATGAGAGTATGGATCTGTGCAACTGTGACGTGATAAGTGACGTCTACAATCTGATCAAGCTGGGCGAATATCGGACCACCACAAGTACTGTGATCTGCATAAAAACGAGCCCAGACACGGCACACGCGGAGCCTACTGATGCTTGTACTGACAGGAAAATGAATAAGGCACTTTGCTACAGTCATCTATCTTCTGTATTGGTGCAAAATCTAAAAATAACCTTGACAGTGAGGCTGAGATCATACTTAGTCCCTATAGATTTCTGTATAGTGACTGTGGCATTTGGTAGTACATTGCGAATGCCCACTAGACGCAGCTGTGTACTGGAGGTTTTCTATACGATGCGTCAGAGAAGCAGTGTTGTTTTCTATATTGTCCCATACTGAGTGGTGGTAAGCTGTCTTTTGTTCAAACTATGCACTGATTTCTATGGGTTATTGTTAGGCGTGGGACATGATCTCGTACCACAGGATCTTACAAGACAAAATTGCCAGAAGGAAAATTATCTCGTGAGATTTTACTCCATCTATTTATCATTTTGATTTTTTACACAGTTTTTTTTTTTTTTTTTTTTTACAAAGTATTAGACAATAAGACGATATAGTAATTATCGTGACAGGTCTAGACGGCAAAAACAATGTGAGGCCAAAATTGTGAACAAAATAGCACAATTTATTCATTAGAAATTAAGTCAAACCTCACCTTCTTATGGATCCAGTCTTGTGTTTCACGCCGTCTTGTGCAAATTTTGTCTCATCCCGTCCCTATAGTTATTGTGTATTTAAGCTATTGATTCAAAATATCAGGACTTATATATAAGGACATTTGTTTCATTTTTTACTTAGAAATAGTTTGTGATTTCAGTGGCATAACGTACAAAGATTTTCATCAAACGTGCACTGTCTAATCTTGGTTAAGGTTTAAGTGCTTTGCCTGGAATGTTCCGCTGTATGGCATTAAACGTGTCAGTTTTGCCCCTTCATTTGCAGGTCTTTTTAATACACAAAAAAAACAAAAAACCTCTTGCCTCTCCATAGATATAACTTGTAACTTGGCTTCATAACGTCGCATGCTTGTCTTAAGGGAGAGATCTGTTTAATGTCCCATATTGTTGAACATTCAAGGCAAAGCAATAACACCTCCACGGTAACACTCTCTTTCACCTTGTGATGTCATGTGGTAATACAGGAAGTGCTCAACTGTGTTTTTAAACTCCATACACCTTCTCTAGAATCATTTGGATAGTTTCAGCCCTGGAATTTCAAGTCTGTACTGAACAAAAGGTAAAAGGTAGCTGTTAACTTGAAAACGACCATTTCATGACATCACATTGTGGAACGGGGCATTTTGAGTTTTGGAGATGTAGACAGACTAATAATGCAGGATTATTCAAACATGTGTGAATGAAACAAAACACAAGTAACAAGATTATACCGCGGCTTAAAGCTTGTTGAGTACATTTTTTTCATAATATCGGAACTTTAAATCGAAGAAATAAACCAATGATGATCTTTCTTTACATAGTACTCACACTGTTATTTTTAGTGCAAAGACGCAGCTTCAGTTACAGTAATACCTCTGACCCAATGCTGACCTGTTTTACCTTGCATCATATGCTCATGTTGTCTGTTACAGTTGGCTCATGGATTATATAGTTGTGTTCACAGATGGTGCACTTTTACATCTGTGCATTGTTATGTCATTCACAGCGAGTGACATACAGATTGGTATTATGTGTGGAAAGCTGTTTACATTGGAGTTCACACCCACCTCCCATAGTGCAAGATGGATTCTAGGCTATACAATATTACAAAAAATATAGATAATTGCTTTGAATATATGAAAAGGTGCATTATTGAATATAATTAAATAACTCTATGTACAATTGCTGATAGATTGCAAAAATATGATGAAATATGATTGCTATGTAATATGTTTTTCCATATTTGTCACAATAACATATGTCAAGGCATTATTAATAGCAGTTCATATTTAATGGCAACATTTAGATTCACTGCTCACTAGACACTACACACCTACAGCATTTTGGATTGAGCTAGTTAAATCAGGGTTCTTTCTGTTTCTTTGGTTATTCTGTATGTCATAGAAGAAACAAAACATGACTTCTGACTTTGACTTTTATTAAGAAGAATGATGCATTAAATTTCAGCCAGTGAAAGCATAAATTACAAGTCCTAACTTTTTTTTGTTTTATTTTGGATTTTTATTTTATTTTTTGCGAAAGTTGGTGTCATAAAATACTTCTTAATGCTTCTGATTTAGTTCCTTGTGATCCAAATCCAGCAGTTTCACATTTTGTCACCATATTGTGACAAAGTTGTATTCATGAGATTCCTATATTACTTTATCAGTTCAGATTTCAGTTTTCTTTCACATGTTAATCATCTGGAGTTGTTTACAATCTGCACTCTGAACAGAATTTTAAACATATATTGGCAATCTAATCACAATCGCAATACTTAACTTTAAAGAAATGATCGGTAAGACTGCAGAATTATGCAGTCCTATTGTATAGATGCCTGGCAAATCCTGAATTATATCTCTTTACTTTTTATAAAAATAGAAATCAGTCTGGTCCCAACACTCTCTGTCACGTCTCGAGGCATCACCAAACATGATAGTCCAATCAGATTTGTTTCCATCAGTGAAGCAGGAACTCATTCGTCACCTATGATTTAGAATAAAATGACATTTCTCTCACCTCAGATTAACACAATTTTGGTGCATTTCTCATAGATTCTGCAAGAATCTGTGATGTTTTTCAGTCCCCTGTTGTATTTTTTTTTCCTTTCTTTTTTCACATAAGCAGTCATATGTGTTTTGGTACGGACAGACTATGCATAACCCTACATAAGGTATTTGAAAAGTGTTATGGGTCCCAGGCAAATTGTACAGTCCACTTAAACATTGCGATCCTCTTTTACATGCAGATTTGGCCCATGCTTTCCCCTCCGTGTTTCAAACTCTCCTTTGGTTATTGTATCTGGTGTTGTTTGGTTGTTTGCATCTCCCGGTGAGCAGCCTCTTGTTCACCAGGTCCCACACTGTGTCCCCTGATTTAGCCTCCTGCCGACACGAGAGAAAAGTCAGTCAGAAAACATGCTTCCCCTTTGCTTTGACTGTGTGCTGCTGCATTAAAGATTAAAGAGCGTTTGCCTTATTAGGAGGGAGAACAAGTCCTACATTTTCACTGCTTTTCACTTTTATAAACCTTCTACTAAAATTCAAAAATCCATCAAGAAGGCAGAGAAGCATGAGAACTTAAAAGTGCCCATATTATACTATTTTTTGATCTGTTATGTTGTTTCCTCATCACAAACATACCTGGAGTTGTGTTTTGTTTCATTCACACATGTTTAACACACAGACCCTGAGTTCTTGAATTCTCTCAACAGAAAACACTCACAAGATGTTCCACCTTGTGATGTCATGTGGTAATACAGAAGTGCTCCACTGTGTTTTTAAACTCCATACACCTTCACTAAAATCATTTGGATGATTTCAGTCCAGCTAGTCTCCTCCGAACTAAAGGTAATTGGTAGCTGTTAACTTGAAAACTACCTCTTTATGACATCACAAGGTGGAACAGAACATTTTAGAGCTCTGGAGCTTTAAACATGTAAACAGACTAATAATAAAGCATTACTCAAGCATGTGTAAATGAAACAAAATACAACACGCAAGGGCATTTTGTGTAATATAGGAGGTTTAAAGGTACCTGATTTTGACTGTCTTAAAACATACAAAATCAAGTTTTCAAGTTCAAATTTTAAATGTTTTGCAGTGGTCAGTAGTTACTCCTCATCATATGCATTCCCAGCATTCAGGCATTCACCACTGTACCACGAGACTACGGAACAGTTTTTATCCTGATGCCGATTAATTCTGTCAGAAAAAACACTACAAAACAGCACTGACTTGGAACGCACTTTAGAAAATGGGGGCGGGTTGACATACAATATTTTTAACTATTTTATTCTTGTTATAACTATTTATTCTTATTATAACTATTTGTTCTTATTGTTATCTGTGCTGCTGTTGACCTGGACCTGAGTGCATTGTTTCGTTTCTGTGTATTTTTTATACTGGAATGACAAATAAATTTGATTCTGATTCTGATTCTGATTCTGTAAGTTTAGAAGTGCACAACTTTCAGGAGCAAATACTAAAGGTAACAACAACTAACATGTTAACGCGTACTGATTACTGATCAATAAAAAGCTTAATAATTAGATGTAGACGGCACACAGCAGACATATTCTGACCTCAGGAGCTGCTTATTCAATATATCTGTAGTGGGGCAAGATGATTTTCGGTCATATACATGGGAAAAAATGGGGTACAGAGCCTATAATGCCATAGTAAGAGAAATATAGTACGCATGCACAGTATGTAGGATTGATAGGATTTCTACAGACTTGCATTTTTGCACACAAACTCCTGAGATGCAAATGTGGGGCATCCGTTGTCATGGAAACCGGATCTGATGGAAGCAAAGCACATGCCGGATAATGAGCAAATACAATTCACATCACGCTCGAGAAAAATATGTTCAAACTCAGGACTGCAAAATGTGTCTTATCTAACATAGGATATAGTCAGATGTAAGATCATGATTTTAAGATTATTTATGATTAGTAATGCCATGAACAGCAGTTCATTCAGATTTATGTACATTCACTAATACAGTACCATAATACAGGTGACTAGCTTTATGACACTATACTGAAAAAAAATATCATCATCTAAGTTTTGCGTGTTACACTGTAATCAGATTAGATTCTTAGGATTCTTGTAATAGTTTGCTCGTTCATATTTCAATCATCTCGCAAATGTTAACGCTCAGATGTTTGGAATGAGCCCTTTGAACTTTGAACACTAACTTTTTTTTTAACTTTTATTGCCACAAATCAATTCACATCAACAGTGTCCTGAGACTGGACCTTCACACAATTTATATATTTTTTCCCCTCTTCCCCCTTCTAGAGGAAGAAAAGAGGGGGAAAAAAGTAAAAATAATAGAGTAAAATAAATAAATAAATAAATAAGGCACGTTAGGGCAT